TCCAAACAGTCATTAGTAACATTGAGGTTTTTAAGGCCTCTATTTAATTTTACATCTCTCATATTTACGTCACAGTAGCTAACAGAAAAAACGAGAAAAAACCACAGCCCAAAACAAAACAAACCCCAAAACCCTCTCTCGGTCACTCGGTCAGTCTAATTCCCACCATTCCAATGTTTCACCCATGATGTCATCCCTAGCTGCGGTTCCCCGAAGCCCAACATGTGCAGAGGTTCCATTTCCCCGTGTCGGTGCGGCGGTTGTAGACACCCTGGTCGTGTGCTGTCATCACCTCCAAAACAACACAAGTCACGTGACGCCAGCTCAAGGCACCGGAAGGTCTGCTTTGTATCCCATCTCGCCCCTTGGCATTAAGGAGAGGAGGAGAAGGAGAAAACAAGAAGAATTTCTCGCGTAAGAACTGGGGTACGAAAGGCAAAGGTGCGGTTGAGTACTTTGGAAAAAAAGTGTGTGTGGGGGGGGCGAGTCCGTTACGGAGAGTCACTTGTAAGTAAATGAAAAATGTTCTGGCCTGGCTAATCTTCATTCCGTCAACGGATGGCAAAACTTTAGAGAATGTGGCATGGCTTCCCACCCCCTAGAACACATAAATCACGGGGTATTTTAAACCTCCGACGGACACACCCATGGCAGCTATTACGTAACCACAGTCAAACAAAAAGTGGAGGAACTTCTTTAAAAATAGCAAATATAAAATAATCAAGAAGACCCCCTATACCTCACACAGAGAAAAAAAAATCCCACACCATCTCCTAACACAAGAAAGCGGCTTGTATTCGTGAACCGGGACAAACCTTGCTTCAGGAAAGAGCGACTTGAATTTTTAAGCTGATTGCCAAAATTTGCATTCAAAGATCAAAAGTTATTTGTTCATTGTAACTGAACAATAAGAATGATCAGGACGGAATCTTTGTGCCTTCATTTTCCTATGGATCCCACAGATATTTGTGGTTTTGCATTTCAGTTTTTAAAAAAATCTATCAGGTAACATCGAGTGACCGGTGTCTGTGGTGTAATAATTAGGCTCTTTGCCGTTGCAGGCAGAAGACGTGTGAGTTTATTCCCGAAGTGAGAACGTTTAAAAAGGAGAATCAATTTACGTTGTCTGCCTTCTGGGATATAGCCTGGGATGGGCCTGACTAGCGAGGTAGAAGCAACCCAGCTCTTAAATGATCTACATTCTGTAGATCGAAGAAAAATGAAACAAACATGTACAACTACTTAAAGTCCCTGATACAGCAGGAAAACACACGAGCAGTTCATATCTAAGGTCGAAGGAGACCAGCTCGTAAAGGATCAAATTATGTTGATTGAAAAAAAAAACAAAAAACCCCAACCAAACCAAAACATTTACAATTCTTTGAGCAGTTCGTCAATGAACACAGCAGTTACCGGTACTCCGACCGTTAAGCTTTTATCAAATGTTACGTGAAGTGAGCGATTATCGCCACATGACCTCGGCGCATGCTCGCATGGCTCTCGGCGGCACCCAGCACGCCATGATGTGACGACATGCAAATCTCAGCTCACTGACGTCTCGGAAACAGCGAACAAGTTCTTTATCTCTGCCTCCCATGGAGAGCCGCTCCCGCTGTCCGAGCCTAGTAGATAGGCCTGGGCAGAGACCGTAATCATTGGGCCGGGGCACGGAAATTTGCGCCGGATTTCATTGGTGGTATCGATAGAGATGGTGGTATAGAACGAGCTTACCGGCAGTGACTAAATGGACTTATTTTATTCACATGGTCCTAAAAACTATGCATATTGATTTACTTGATAGAGGGCAACAAGTGCCCTATGAAAACATGCCTATCTGAATAGTACAGTCAGTAGTTCATTTAAAAAAAATCCTTTTAAAGAATATGACAAAAAGAAAAACAAAACAAAACAAACAAAAACAAGACAAAGCAAAATCCCCAAAATCCCCC